CGCTAAGAAAATTAAGAATGGCATTAAAAAAGCTGGATAACAAAAATGTCATGGCCTCTATACGAATAGATAAAAATCTATGCACCTTCAGGTTGCTCGGTTCGTGAACAACTTTCATGCCGCTCCACATGTCAGCCATAAAGTCGCCGAACACCATTGCCAGATGGCCCTTCATGCCCAATGGATTCGTCTGATTGATGTCGATGTAATGCAACTTTTGTAGGAAGTAATCCCTCAGATCCTTTGTGTTGACCAACGCCTGAAGAACAGCATTCATGAAGCAGGTGTTGCCAATGTTTCGAAGCCCCGTATAACCGGGCATCGTCAGCGTGCCCTGCTCCTTGTATGGGGGGACGCGACATGTTGGTTTCACGTGATTTGGCACTATTCCGGGAGTCGACGACAATTCATCATCGCTTCCACTGTTCGCACCGTCCACGTCACTGCTCCGATCATAAAGGCAGTTTTCTATCGGTGACGGCAATTCTTCAACATCCGTTGACGAACTAACCACTAAAATACCAATCAAGTTTAATTTTCAGCACTCACAATAGCGCAAGGCAGGGAACAGATTTCAGTTCAACTGAACATCCGGCCTGTATAATTACTACTTTGCCTCAACAGACTTAATTAGATCGTTGCGATTTTACATATAATTTCATAAATAAGGAAAATAAAAGAAAAACAAATACAATCGAAGCTGAAGTTGCATCACAGGGGCTCATTTAACCATGGTTTTCCTTCTACTCGCTAATGAAGACTTGAATTGCCACTTTATGACAGCTCTGTCTTAGCTTATCACGATGCTATCTTGTGTGCCTCAGAACATACGCTTCAAGTTTCTTTAAAGAACGTGGCTCAACATTTTCAGTCATTTTTGAACTACAAAATTAGTTGCGCCCGAGTAAACCGAAACCTTTGAAAGAAGTTTTTTGCTAGCAAATCAAATGTGTACTCGCTGCCAACTGAATTTCTCAAACTTTTACCTGTTACAAGGCATATCTTTTCAGAGTGGTAATGCCATGGTGTTCTTGAGTTCTAATTGGCGCCTTCAGCACAGGCTGACTAAGCATTTGAAAATACCCTTAGAGGCGGCAGGACGATAACCATCACATGAGGCTCCTGTTAACGCAGTGAGTGTGTCAATGCTTTACAATACAACGAATGTCGTCAACTGGCAGCAGAACACTGACCAAGCGATCTTTCAGTCTGATTAACAGTCACCATTTTCAGCGATACAACAGAAGACTGCACCGAAGAGAAAAACTCAGTCTTAAATCGAAAGATATCTATGATAACCCATAAAACATTTTCATTCTTGTTTGGATTAATTAAAAATATACTTGCATATCTACACGTAGTACTGTGTTCTATTGTTCAACTGTTGCTAAAATCCAAACTATGAAAAATCAAAAATATTATGCATCAGCAGAAGCGAAAAAGTTTATTTATGAAGTTTAATAGGCGTACTTACTAGCGCCGGGTCCATCGATGACCTTTTTCGGATTCGGTATCAGAGCGCTAACGATGTTTGAGTTAATATAAACCATTGAGCAATTTTACTGGCCAATTGTAATGCCATACAAAATAAAACCCTAAAATTGACAAATACTTAAAAAAGTATGGCTACAGAGTACAAGCTGAGAACGCTGAGAACTTAAACAGCGGCGACGCGTTAATTAACTGATAGCTTCATCACGATGACCTAGGGGTTGACAGTTGCTTAAAACAGAGTTATGTCGTTAGGATAACGATGAGGACGTCTGTTATGGGTAGCTCAGTGACGACTTCCTTATCCCGGAGTTGAATGGAAACCAAAAACGAAAAAAAAGTAATGTACAGCTGTTTAGTTTCGCCATGTGACTGAAATGTCGGCAAATCCAGGATCATATGATACGATTAACTGACAACGAAGCAATAAAAAACAATTCAAACGAAACATTCGAATTCAAAATGCACTACTTGTGATTATATTATTAATACAGGTTAAAAAGACAATGTGAGAAAGGTAAGTGTACAATCAATGCAAAATCTTCGATAAGCAATGTTAAAACAGGATTAAGTCAGATCGTCAACGAAAGCAACGATATACAATAAGGCTATTATATAAATGCGACACCACTAACTAATTGTGATTATGAACAACTTAACGCCCAATCACAGATGCGGTGGGGGAATGCATCACGTTTAAATAATCAAGCTTTTTGAAAGATTTCGATTATACAGCTGAACATGGACCCATTTCATACACATGATTCATTGTACAACCAAACTGTATTATACTATCATGGAACATGGACGCACCCAGAACAACACGTCAAAAGTATAACATTTAAGAGGTTACAAGTTAAACATGAAATATTCGTTTTTCCAGTTTCGTCTCATTAGGGAAAACTATCTGGACTGCAACGCTCTGGTGATCTGTCTCTGCTCACAGCGATTAGACGTCGAGTTTTA